TCAGACATCTGAACGTGATAAAGATGACTTGTGTTTTTGCTGTTAAAGGTCAGATGGCCTACACCAGCAGAAGATTGTCTGTTAGTAAAGAACTGGAAAACAAGGCTGCATTTCACAGAGACCCATGAAAATCAAACAAGGGGGAAAAAATGAAGGAAAAAAAAGTTGCCTGGTCCAAATAATCTTAATTTCATTTTCAGGCAAGGCTCTGAGCTCTAAGTGGCCAACCGATCTGCGTTTCAGTGTAGAAGTGTGTCTGTGCTTGTGAGTGTGAATGTGGCACTAGTGTAAAGCGTTTAGAGCGGTCAGCATGACTGAAAAAGCAGTATATAAGTTCAGTCCATTTATCTTTTGGAGACCCTTGTTACCATCTGAACATGTTTTAAACACCACATCCTACCTAAGCATTGTTGATCATCATGCTTTTTCTTATATGAGCACAGAGAAGAATCTTTCGACAACTACTTTCTGCCAGAAACAGAACAAAACTCAAATCAGACCAAAATGGTTTCTAGACAATGAAACGTCTTCACTGTACTTCAACGGCCTCCGCAGTCACCAGATCTTAACCCAACACATCATTTTCACGTTCATTTTCAACATGAATGTGAAGATGACAAATCTGCAGCAACCGTGTCATGATGTGAAGCCAATATAAAACAAAATACGTGAGAAATTTATCTGACACAATTTTCTGTTCTCAAATTTATGTTTCATCAAATGAAAGCAGTTCTCAATGCGAAATGGATCCAACCTCCGCCTTGAGGTGCCTGGTGAGTGTAGGTGACCACAATATTTAAAAAATAATATGTTTTATCTTTAAAGTTGTGTTTTGATTTGTCAAATTTAACTAAGTGTTGACACAAATTTTAAACAGCATAAATTATTAAGCTGTTTACATGATAAATTTGACATGAAATACAAGGGCAAGAAACTATTAGGTATAAGAGGCTAAAATGCTAAAAGCATTCTATAGGTGTCTATACAAACATGTGATTAAAGTCGAGGTTTTGTGAAAAAAACAGGCTGTGGTTTCCCTTGTTTTTCCAGTGGTTGGTAGATCCTTTAAATTACTGAAGAGAGCCACATGTGCCGCTTATTGGCATGAAGTGTGTTTGATTTAATAGAGTTTTCCAAAACATTAGCTCTCCTCAAGTGGAAAATCTTTTTAATGAGAAGTGCACAAAACATGGTAAATAGCCATTAGACTTACTTTAACAGCTCCCACATGTTTACTGTGTTTATGAGGGGTGTGACTGAGAGAGGAGAAGGTTGTTTGACTCGTTTCTGTATGGGGGAAGAAACTGAGAAAGACCACCTGAGCTTTTCCTTCTCAATGTATCTTTAATGTGCTATTTCCATGGGTGAAACACACAGAGTCAAAGCTGTGTAAAGGATTACCTGCAGCGAACAAAAAGATGAACCGTCTTATGCGTCTCCCTCCAACAAATAATCTCGACTACCCTGTCATCAGCCTCCTGTGTCTGTCTGCTGTAGAGCGCTGCTGCCCCTGATCCATCTCCTATTGTTACCTAATTATATGAAGTCATCAGACGGCTCCAGATCTCAGACTATCTGTGTAATCACACTGCTATTTTACGCACCCCGAGTCCCTCACAGAAACACATTTTTCATTAAAATTCAAAATGTTAAAAGCTGTAGAATTGTTCAGATTTATTATCTCTGCTCTTCCACGGAGGTCCTTCCTTCACACTCTTTAATTATAACTCTAAACTCCATTAGATGTCTGATGTGTGTTTAATGAATGTTGGTGAGGCATCCGTTAAGTTAATTGCAGATCATTGAGATAATTTCAGTTATTTAGAAAACCCGCAGCTTTTCCAACTGTTATGAGGGTGGGGGTGGGATTTGACTGCAGACTGAGTGAGCAGGCAGAGCTGTGGTTAGCCACAAATAGAGCCCTGTGCTGCGGGACAACCTTTATGGGATTTACTGACAGTAATGATGCTCATGATGAGGTGTCAGATTATTGTTTTAGAAAGCTGAAGCTCCTTTTATGTTTTTCCTTCTCTTTTATGACAAACAGCCTTACAAACTGTGCCGAGGTTTAGCGTGGAGCCTCCTGTCTCCGGCTGACTGCCACCTGTTAAATAATATGTTCTCTATTTGTTGCTTTACCAACAGAGACGGCTTTGTTACAATGAAACGTGACAGCTGCATTTATAAACGCTGTGCTATTATTAACTACACAGCACAGCTAATATCCTATACTTTAACTACAGTTCAAAGATAATAAAAAGGTATTTTTATTTCCTGTATCACAGTCACACATAAAACGTTTTGTGTCTGTACATGAGATACAGTAAACATATACTCAGGGGCGGTTCTAGACAGGGGCCAGCTGGGGCCCCTGCCCATGCAGAACTAGACCTGGCCCCTCGACTGAAGACACAATACTAAATAAATTTCTTAGAATGACATGTACTGGCACAAAAAACATAACTAATTCTTTGGACTAATTAATTTGTTTACCTTCACTTTAAAAATTAATTTGAAATGAAGCTGTTGCCCTTCAGTTTCAGCTGTATTGATATGGAATCAGTTTTCATCTTCCACATCAGGGGTCAGCCACCTGTAGCTCTCATGAACCATCAACGAGGGATGAATGCCAGTTTCCATCGCTCCAACATCATCAGGCAATGATTTGTGACCCACAACTGGATGCCAATGAAGCTCCTTTCACCGCACTCCTCATTCCTCGACCCCATTGCGGAATTTTTCAAAGTATGGTGGTGGAAAGTAAAGGAAGATTGCACTGCAATTCCTGCAACCTTTATTGTACAGTTTTCCTTCAGGAGATTGTCTTATGTTCACATTTCTACTTTTCTTTTCTTTTCTTTTCTTTGTACAGTGCAAAAGTTCTTTACTAAATTGAAATATACTTTATTAACTACAAAGAGAAATAAAATGTCATTAAAATGTATTCAAAGAAGTAATGTAGATAGTGATGACTGTGGGCAGGAATAATATCCTGTAGCAGTCTGTAATACAGCAAATCTGAAGAAGCCTCTGACTGAGGACGCCATGTTGTTATATAACAGTCTAATGAATAGGATGATCAAGGTGATCCATAATGTTTTTAGTATTCCTACGAAACAATATATATTGGACTCAAAGGTCATGAGCAGTGATGAGGACATATTTATTATTTGTACATGTGTGCATAATAAAACTAGCTGATATAAAATGAGCTGTCATCACAATTCTCCTGATAAGGAAGCCTAGTCATAATACATCATGTCTTTTATAAGATAAAATACTGCAGACATGCATTATTGCTATTCTGGATGGAAAAAATAACAATACAAAGCTTGAAACTGATCAGTGGTTTTCATTACTGTTGTTAAAAGCTGTTTTAGGTGCATGACAGAGACCAGATGAACAATGATGAATTACTCACAAATGCCCTCACTGAGTTAAACATAATACAAAGGTCAAGCAAACACAGCAGGTTTTATTGGTGGGACTTTGCTCGTTTTTTTTTTCCACAGCAGGTGAACGCAGGGAGTATTCCTCATTGCATAGCTGACAGCGGAAGCAGACACCATGATTCGGTAAGTATGTTACAAATCTCTTGAAAATATTCCTGGCTTTTACTTGAACTATACTGAAATTTGAATTAATCGACAGTCTTTTCACACGCAGGGTTTCCATCATAGTCAGCGTTTTGCTGATGCTAAGCGTCAGTGCAAAGCCCTGGGTATGTGAACGTACTGTTTAGGTTCAGATTGAATCATGCAAACGTTAAAAGCTTTTTGCTTTGGTGATAGATGTTTAATACTTGCTCTCCTCTTCAGAATAAACCTTCAGACAAACACTTGGAGCAAAGGGTTGTGTAAGTTGGCATCTTCAACCAAAAGCACAAAGCACAGTGGCCTCTTCAGATGAAGGCTGACACTGCATGTTCCTTATTACAGGCTCATTGATGACAAAGGGAAGCTGTCCTGGGGAGCAGAGGTGGAGCCTCCAGAGGACATGGACAGGATCGAGTATGAGGTCGACCCTAGTATGAGGATCTGGAACAGCATGAAGGCCAGCGGACAGGAGAAACACTACCTGAAGCCTGAGGAAGATCTGGATATGATTTATCATCCTTCAACAGTCGAGCTCCAAGCTCACATCAGAGAGTTTGGATACAAAGCTGAAGAGAAGGAAGATGATCAGCATTCGCCTGCACAGATGGACCAGGTAGTTTACCTGCAGCCTGAGGAAGACATGGATGACGTTTACCACAAAGAGCCCCTCTTACCCGCCCTTCAACGAGATGTGGCTGAAGCTGCTGCTCCTGTTGACATTCCCTCTCAAAGAAAGTACACTGAGCCAGAGGAAGATCTCGATGAGCTTTACCATAAAAGGTTTGACAAGCCAGTCCTTCAACAAATGGTAGCTGAGGCTCCTGTCGACATTCCCTCTCAGAGGAAGTACACCGAGCCAGAGGAAGATCTGGATGGACTCTACCACCAGTGATCCAGGCTTAGCATTTGTTTAACATAAGAGATGCAAATGTATAATTTGATTCTATTAAACTGCTTTACATGCATGAATCAATTGCTATCTACTTTACATTTCATGTTGATAGAAGCGTTCTATGCATTCATGAGAGACTTCAGGTTTTATTTGATGAAGGCAAGGAGTGAAGGCGCAGAGGAGAAATAGGGTCATATGTGCTGCACATGAGGGCAATTAAAACATATTTTTCATATTAATTGCAGAACAATAAAGTATGATGTTTTTTGAGCTTTGAATAAAAACTCAACCCAAAATAACCATGTATATATATATATATATCTTTTTATTTAAACAGTAATTTATTAAATTTGTCTCATATTACTGAAAAAAAAAAATTGGAATCTCTGGCAAAACTATGTTTCCTTCACTGCAGCATCTCAGCAGGAATGACTCCCTTCTTCAATATTAAGTTTCCATAAAGAGCAGTTTCCCTGAGCAAAACAAAACACAGAAACATACAAAACAATTATAAAAAAAATAAAAAATTGGGTGTATTTGGAGTTGAAGGTCAAAATCTGAAATAATGAAATAATTAAAGAAGTAAGTACGAATGGGAAGAGAAAAAATGGAGTCCCTGAGTTTTCCCACAAAATTTATTTCGAATGTTCATGTTTGTTTAAGATGTATTTTACAGTTTCAGAAAAAAATCATTATTTTTAATAAAAAACACAGTGAAGACTTTGAAGAATTGAACAAATCTAAAACAAGCAGGACACCAGATTTTCTGGACTGCACTTGGACACCCACCGCCACATTTAAGTCAAAGCAGAAAAATACGCACCCTGTCGCCACGACAGCGTAGGCCCTTTTAGCTCGTTCGTAGAAATTAAATCTTTCCATTTTCTCCAGAGAGCCCTGCATGTGAACAACAATCAGTAAAAACTTATTTTGTTTTAGGTTCAGCCCGTACGTAATTAGTGTCGTACCTGTGAGCCTGCCTGGCAGAGGAGCAGTATGTAAGTGTCCCACACCGGGACAGATAAACGTCTCTGTTTGTCACTGTCTACCAGATCCATGACTGCTGCCTGTCGGCAACAAATTTAACATGTGATACTCTTGAAGATACATCTGCTCTCTTCGCTATTTCTGCATTTGATATGTTTCAGCCTTATTCCAAAATGAGTTTAATTCAAAAAGTCCCTCTAAATCGTAGAGAAAATACCACCAAAAAATGTCACAATGTCAAATGTTTCTATGTAATTCAACAAAATTTTAAGACTTAAAAAAAAAGTAATTAAAGGTGGAAAAAACTTTACCACTTATATATGTGACTTCTTTGGGGAAAAAAATTATATATATATATATATATATATATATATATATATATATATATATATATATATATATATATATATATATATATATATAAAACTCTGATTTTCACATGCATGTGTGGGCCCTGTACCGGTCTGTCCACGTAGGTGTCCAAGGGCAACAGCGTTAAAATCGCCTCTAAAAGTTGTGGGATTCCCAGACCTGTAACCAGAATGAGTCAAAGTCAAAACAACAGTGTAGTAACACGCTCTGTCTGGTCCAATGTTTTCATTTCACCATACCATCAGCTCTGATCTCTTTTGGACCACAGGCACAAATAGAAGAGGCAGGAAAATTTGCATCTGCAAGGACTGAGGATGATAAAACATGAAATTAGTTTCACTGCTGACACAAATGAGCTTTCTGACCTTTTACAGTTCAAACACCACAGGCTGCAACCACCGCAGGACATGAATGACACCAGTAGAGCTGTGGATCATACCCAGTTCATCCCCATGGCCCATTTTGGCCAGCGCATACAGCAGCTCGGGTGATAAAATAGAGGGGATCCCCTTCAGAACCACCATCCTGCAAGCCGAACAGCTCAGAATTCACAGGAGCAGAAATCGAGGCGAACCGAGAGGATTTCCCTATATCCACTTCCGTTTTGTTTAGCTTTGCAGCACCTACTGGCCAGAAAATGAACTACAAGCAAATATATATATATATATATATATATATATATATATATATATATTTTTTTTTTTTTTTTTTTTTTGTCTGGAGCCTCTTTAGTCAGCAGAAGGATGTTTAGTTTTTAAAAGTTTTTAAAACAAAATATTATTTTATTTCTATAAAACATCTCACACACTGAATTAGTGAAAAACAGAATTTATTTTTCTAAAAATATGCAGTTTAAGATTATATTTAAATGCCGAGCTCACAAATAGCCAAGGAAAAATAACATTACATGCTCATGAAAACACAAAAACCAAGTATGGATCTTTTTCCAGGTCCAACAGGAGCAGGAAAAAATCTAAAGTAGCCTTAAATGAAACTGTTAGCAAATTTCACACAAAGGTTTTTCTAAGTGTGTTTATTACTGTTGCATTTGTTAACAAGTCCTGAGCCAACTCAGGTTTTCCTGAGACAGTTGCAACATTTGCTTATACTATGGTTCAGAACTAATGAGAACTACTTTCACATAAATCCAATTAAAATATATAAAAGTTTTTGCCTCAAATAATTTAAGCTGCAATGTTGTGAAGTAGTAACTACAATGGTTGTTCATTCATGATTCAGTTTTTCTCAGTTGAACTGAAAAATATAGATAACAAAAATATGCACATTTCTAATGTTTTTTTATATGTTCAGATGTTTCATGAATAGCTATATCTCTTCTATTTTGTGGTCTTTTTGCAGCAAAGCAAATCAACAGACTGAACCTTCTTTTGGAAAAATAATTGTGTATTTTTCACTATGGCTTGTAGTTTGAACACTGACCTATTCGTGTCCATAGAAGCTCAAATAGAGCCAGCAATGCGACTAAATCTCACAGCTGCTGTGTTATTTTGGGGAAATAAAAGTGACTTTGGGGGAAGTGATTTGAGGCTGCTGAGCAGAAAAAAAAGAACCTTGCAGGAGTCAGGCCTGTCTGCCAAATCTGAAAGCCTCTTCTCCTTCTACAGACCCATGCTGTTCTCGCTTTATTTCGGCTTCTTTAAATGAGTTTATCACGCTATGAGGGTTTGCGCTGCCAAATTGCAACGTTTTGCCCCCTTTGTGTGCACGGAGAGCCTCATTTAAGTCTACATTTATTATTTTGACCTTTCGGCAGCCTCAAAGAGGAGCTCCTTTTCTGCTCCTCTCAGTGTTCTTTTGTGCTTTCCTGCAGAGTGAGAAGACAAGTTTTTTTTCTCTCTTCCTTTTAAATGTTTTGTTAGAGGTGCTGACAAGTAAGCAAGATCCAGGGGAATATTGAATAATAACAATAAAAAAAAAAAAAAATTACGCTATTGCCTTGTGAAGATTTGAAGTTCTGCCGTGTGAAGATCAGAGAAAGAAAAGATACCTCCTGATGATTGGAGCAGCAGCAGAAAGCACACTTTAACCAAATTGGTTCTGGTGGTTCTCTTTGAAGATCAGTGGTTCTGCATTTACAGCGCAATGGAGCTTTTTTATTTACAACAATGTGTATGTTATTCAAACGTATCTGAGTAGATTGTCAGTTACTTTATTTCAGTAATTCAATTCAAAAAGTGAAACTCAGGCATATTGTTAAATGTTTATTTCTGATTATTTTTGATGCCAATGGCTTCCAGCTAATAAAAACCTAATGGACAGTTTCTCAAAAAAACATTTTAATATGACAATTTTTTCCCATGTTTTCTTCCCACTAAGCATTTAATACTATGTTTGAATATTCTGTCCATTGTTTGGATGTTGGACATAATCAGCTGTGATGGAAAAACACAAGGGAAAAGAATATATTATCAGGTTGTCTACTCCTGTTTATGTTTTGAGATTATGGGATGGCTTGGTGCTTATTGCGATCCACCCTGGACAAGTCGCCAGTCCGTTGTACAGCAACAAATCTAATACAAATTCACTCGTTGTTTATGACGCTGCTTTCATAAGTTGTGACCTAAATCAGGGATGTCCAAAATGTATCCTGCAGGTTTTATTCCTCTCTGTGGCTCAACACCCTGGTAACAACCTTGTGAGCATGTCTAAGCTCTGCAGAGACCTGCTAATGGACCATCATTTGATTCAGGTGTGTGAACCACAGAGAACTAAAACATGCAGGACACTGGTCCTTCAGGATTGACTTTGAACATCCCTGACCAAAACAAAGTGCTTTTCTAAGCAGAGAAATAAAATTCACAATTCCCATTTAGCTTCCACGTAAAGCCTTTAAACAGCTCCACCTCGTGGTCTAGAGTAGACAATGCAAAAATCACATGCTACTTTTCCAACACAGCTAAGGTCATACTAATGAAAACTATGGAACACCACCTTAACATCTTAAGTTTCAAGAATCCCCACACAAAATTTAGTGTCAAAAATTGTTATATAGCTTTATTTGAAAAATGCACACACAATAAACTGCTACAAACAGTTGAAAAATGAAAAGGCAGAATTAGTAGAAATTATTCATCGAGGTTCATCCTTCCTGTACACACAGACTACATATCAGTTTTCAAATCACCACCACAGTCAAGTCTCCTGATTCAAAACAGCACTTTGTTAGCTCTTGGCCCCAGCAGGCTATGATGGGACACGGTTCACTTCACTGTTTATAATTTTCAGCTGGTTTTCAATCCGGATCTCTGTGTTACACAATGAATTACCAGTGAGGGGAGTGATCAACTCATTTCCAAAACCCAACAATCTTCTTTGAACTTTTTAGTTACTGGTCCTGGAAATTGGCTTTTCTTTTCTCCACAAATGCTGTCATGCCTTCCTTACGGTCATCCTGCAGATAAAATCGGATTTAAACATCAATGATCAGCTGTTAAGAGTAATCGCTAGCAGTGGATCACCAAACAGGCTTTTCTACTTACCGTTGCAAAGGTAGCATGGAACAAACGCTTTTCCAAGCGATTTCCTTCAGCCAAAGTCAGTTCATAAGCTGCAGTTTAACAAATGACCAAGTTAAACAAAGTTGATGATTCAGACTTTCATTGGTAATAAATAAATTCTGCATATACCTGCATTCACAGCTTCTTTAGCCATGGCACTGACCAGTTTGGAATTGGCAGCAATTTTCTCCCCACATTTAACAGCCTCAGATATGAGCTGGTCCGCAGGATAAATTTTACTCACTAAACCTGAAAACACAAAAAAATGAACGACAGAATGTGCTTCATTGCACGTCTGATAAGATACATTGCATCACATATGGCTTTCTGTGGGTCATTCAGATTAATAAACAAATTATTAAATAATCAGAAGTTACAATAGCTGATTTAGCTTCTATATAATTACAATTGCTCTCTATATATGCTTCTATTTTAAAGGTAATCCAATTTTATAGAATAGAATAAACACCCAAATTAAGAGAAAGAATTGTCTTTTTTATTTTTCTTGATCACTTTTCTAGAAGGAACACAAAAACACATTTTAATTAAACTCTAGTGAAGCAAAAACTATTTTTTCTGTTGTTTTAATTGTACATGTCGTTTTAATTGTACATGTCTCTGCGGCATGTTCAGATGATCATCAGGTAAAGTTTAGAGGTGCATAATTTGATGCCTAAATAGAGATAATCTTGTAATCCTTTATTTAACTGTTGGATTTAATGCTTGAATTTATATCCAAAAAGCCAAGATGCTTTTTTCTTTTATATACTCTCTATATATTCACACGCTAGTGAATTATAACCACGGACATTCACATAAATGAACAGAGATCAGAAGATCTTTTCTGCAGAGGTTGTTCAAACTACCGAAGGTAATTTTTGATGTTTGCATTGTTTTACTTTACTCACATAGCTAAATTCATTCCACAAAAACAAACAAACAGACAAAAAAAATACTACAAAGCTCCTTCACATCTGATGTTCCTCTGGCATGACTCTTTGTCTTCAGGTTCTTGCATTGATATTCAGACAGATTCAAGTCAGAGAAGCCAGTTTTTTTTTTTTTTACTACCACTGAAGGATGTATAACTTGACAGTTTTTACACATCCAAACACACTTAAGCCAAATTTCACAGTGGGTGTAAGGCCTTCCTATTTTTTCTTCAAATATAAGGAATGTCTCTATGACAAAAGAGCTCTAGTTTCTTCTATTCTGAGCCAAAGCTTGCTTCCAGTAAGCAGAATATTTTTCCAGTCTGTCCTTGACATACTTCAGTCTGGCTTAAATGTGTGTCTGGTCTTCAACCTTGTATTCTACTCTTGTGTAGAGCTGTAGTTATAATTTTCTACAAAGGGAGTTCAGATCCTAACTTGGATGAGTCCTTCAGTAATGTTGTACTCTTTTTCTCAAGTTTAAGCTGGTGTGTTTTAGTCCCTGGGTAAAAGTGAATAGACAGATTTGATGCCAAATAAAACCAGAAACCGATGTAGATCAAGTAAAGCCTGATCATTGCATCTTTTTCATAAAGTTACTATTTACTGTTGCCATTACCTGACTGTTTGGCCTCCTGAGCATTAATCCTGTCTCCTGTCAGTACCATCTCCATTGCCAGGGATTTGCCAACAGCACGAGTCAGACGCTGGGTGCCTCCCGCCCCTGCAGGTAAAACAGTCATGTAGAGTCAAAGCAACAGCTCTGTAAGATCGACGTAGGACAGAAAGAAGTCTTTACCTGGGATGGTCCCCAGCAGGATCTCTGGTTGGCCAAACTGCGCCTTCTCTCCAGCGTAGATGATGTCACACATCATGGCTAGCTCACAGCCTCCACCCAGCTGCAACAGAATCAGAACAAGGAAAACAATCAGGCTGTACGTGTGCAGTTTTCTTGGAAACATGTTAATTTAACAAGGTATGAATGCATGTCTGCTGGTTTTAAGGTATATTCAACAGCAGGAGTGTGCCGTTATACATAGAACAATAACAGAAATGTGATATGTAGATAAAATAATGTTGCACTCCATAAGTGTGAAGAAGACTTCTAAAGGTGCTTTTCCACTGACAAGTGTTGCACCAA